CGTTCGCTGTGCCCCGTGCAGATGTTGATGCCCAAGAAGAACCGCATCGCCATCTACGAGCTGCTCTTCAAGGAGGGCGTGATGGTGGCCAAGAAGGACGTGCACATGCCCAAGCACCCCGAGCTGGTGGACAAGAACGTGCCCAACCTGCACGTCATGAAGGCCATGCAGGTGGGGGGGCCTGGGGACACGGGGGGCTCGGTCCCGGCGGTGCTGCTGCCCGGTGTCCCCTCGTGTGGGTCGTGTCCCCTCGTGTGGGTCGTGTCCCCTCGTGTGCATTGTGTCCCCTCGTGTGCATTGTGTCCCCTCGTGTGCATTGTGTCCCCTCCTGTGGAAGGTGTCCCCTCACGTTGGTTGTGTCCCCTCACATTGATCGTGTCCCCTCCTGCGGATTCTGTCCCCATCATGTGGATCCTGTCCTCCTCCTGTGGATCCTGTCCCCTCCTGTGGATCTTGTCCCCTCACGTTGATTCTGTCCCCTCCTGTGGATCGTGTCCCCCTCCTGTGGATCGTGTCCCCTCACGTGGATTGTGTCCCCTCCTGTGGATCCTGTCCCCTCCTGTGGATCTTGTCCCCTCACGTTGATTCTGTCCCCTCCCGTGGATCGTGTCCCCTTCCTGTGGATCGCTGTCCCCCTCCTGTGGATCCTGTCCCCCTCCTGTGGATCCTGTCCCCTCACGTTGATCCTGTCCCCTCACATTGATCCTGTCCCCTCCTGTGGATCCTGTCCCCTCCTGTGGATGGTGTCCCCTCACGTGGATCCTGTCCCCTCCTGTGGATCCTGTCCCCTCGATCCTGTCCCCTCCTGTGGATCCTGTCCCCTCCTGTGGATCCTGTCCCCTCCTGTGGATCCTGTCCCCTCCTGTGGATCCTGTCCCCTCCTGTGGATCCTGTCCCCTCCTGTGGATCCTGTCCCCTCCTGTGGATCCTGTCCCCTCCTGTGGATCCTGTCCCCTCCTGTGGATCCTGTCCCCTCACGTGGACTGTCCCCGTTCCCTGCGAGGAGGCGCCGTGCCTGTGAGGAGCTGGGACTGACTGGGGCTGACTGGGAGCTCTCCCCGCAGTCCCTCAAGTCGCGGGGCTACGTGAAGGAGCAGTTTGCCTGGAGGCACTTCTACTGGTACCTGACCAACGAGGGCATCCAGTACCTGCGGGACTACCTGCACCTGCCCCCCGAGATCGTGCCCGCCACGCTGCGCCGCAGCCGCCCCGAGACCGGCAGGCCCCGGCCCAAAGGTCACCTGGGGGGGCACGGGGGCTGGAAGGGCAGGACACAGGGAGGGCTGGCTGTGGGATTGTGAGCAGAGCAAGGAAATGGGGTTGGGGTTTGTGGGGTTTTCAGGTGGGACGCACGGGGATGTGCTCTGGGTGGGGATTGGCCTTCCCCAGGGACTGGGATTGCTGGGAGCACACTGCTGAGGTGGGGATGTGGAGGAGGCACTGTCCAGGGCTGGGAGAGCCCCGCCTGGGATCCCCTGTGGCCAGGCTGGGTGTCACCTGTGTTGGGTGTCACCCGTGGCCAGGCTGGGTGTCACCTGTGGCCAGGCTGGGTGTCACCTGTGTTGGGTGTCCCACCCTGCCTCCCCCAGGGACACTGAACGTGCTCCCCCTGGACCAGGGCTCATGGTGGAAGAGCAGCAGAGCCCACAGAGCTGCTGAGGGGTTTGGAGCATCTCTGTGAGGAGGGGCTGAGGGAGCTGGGCCTGCTTGGAGTGGAGGAGAGGAGACAAATACCCACAGGGGACGCTGCCAGACTGTTCAGTGGTGCCCAAGGACAGGACAAGGAGCAGGGGGCAGAAAATAAAATCCAGCAAGTTCCACCTCAATCTGAGGAAGAACTTTCTATGTGGGTGGCAGAGCCCTGGAGCAGCTGCCCAGGGAGGGTGTGCACACATTCCAGACTCACCTGCACACATTCTTGTGTCACCTGCTCCGGGTGACCCTGCCTGAGAGGGCTTGGACTGGGTGATCTCCAGATGAACCCCAGCTGCTCTGTGGTTCTGTGTGTTGCATTTGCAGCTCTGATTTTCCCTCAGTGGCTTTCACACCCCCGAGGGCAGGAGTGCAGCCAGATGTGCTCTGGCTCTGGGGGATCACATCCATTGTCCTTTTTTGCTTCTGAGCCACAGGTCTGGGGCCAGGCAGTGCTGGGAGTTCACCCCCAGCTGCTGCAGTTTGTGTCTGAGCCAAACAAAACAGGAGCATCACCTGCTTCAAAGGAAGGAATTGCAGAGAAACTGGCAATGTGCTGCTCTCTTTGATCTCTGAGTTGCTTGGATGTTCCAAGATTTGTTCTTTAGATGCTGTGTTTATCCAGTGAGCTTAAGGGAGCTGCATCCCTGCTGGGAGGGAGGGCTGGCAGCTGTGTGTGGTGTCACTGTCCTGGTGCTGGAACCTCCTCAGCCCCATCTGGGCAGGGAAGGTTGGAAGGGCTGCCCTTGGTGTTCTTTTTTGCTGTGGATGACCTGCTTGAGGCAGCAGCAGCAGTCTGGGAGACACAGAGGTGGTGTAGCAAAAGAATTATTACAAGAACTGGGTTTTTTATGGCCAAACCAGTGCATGTGGATGTGCAGGAGGGCGCTGGGGTGTGCCAGGCACAGCTGCCCCTCAGTGGGTCCTGCCTGGGTGGGCTCCAGGGACACATCCCAGTCCCTGAGAGGAGGTGGTCTCACCACAGCTGGGTGTTCCTGCAGCAGTTTTGTCTGGCATTAATCTGAGATTCCACAGATAATCTGCTTTTACTGTCCTGAACGTGTTCTGTGGGGGGATTTGGGGTACTGACAGCGTGGCTGTTCCAGGTTGGGGTGGGAATTCTGTCCTGAGTTTGGGACTCAGCTTGCACAGCCTTGTCAGCCATGGCAGATTCCCAGTATTTCTGGCATTTTTACCATCAGTAACATTCAGCACTAGTTTGATGACCAGAGAACTATTGAGATGATGCTGTAAACCCACTTCTCCCATTATTTAACTTCCACCCTGCCCCAAGCTGGGACGCTTGAGCGGATTTCACCCTTCAAATGAGGTTTCCCTCACTAAATCACCATTCCCCTCAGGTTTATCCTCCCCGAGCTGCCCCAGCTGCAGCACTGCTGGCAGACCCGGCGCTGTGGTGCACCTTGGGCTGCAGGGAGCTGTGTTTGCCCTGGCTGAGCCGTGTCTGTGCTGTGTTGCAGGTCTGGAGGGCGAGCGCCCGGCGCGGCTGACGCGGGGCGAGGCTGACCGGGACACGTACCGCCGCAGCGCCGTGCCACGTGAGTGTGCCCCTGTGCCCCCTCGGGGACAGCTGGCCCAGCTCCGGGGCTCCTCTCGGGGAGAAAAGGGGGAGATGAGACTCCTGGCATAGCGTAGAGTCTGTGTGGGAGGTGTGCTGGAGTTTTGTCCCGCTGCGCTGTGGGGTTTTCCCTGGCGCTGGTTTGCTAACTCTCAAACGTGCTCAGTTACAGCTGCTCCATTTTGCTGTGTTTAGCCCCAGTTTGAGTTCTGTGGGGTGGTTAAAGCTTTGCTCCCAGGCAGGGGGTTCTGTGAGCACTGACTGCTTCTCTTTCTGCAGCTGGTGCTGACAAGAAGGCTGAGGCTGGTGCTGGAGCAGCCACGGAATTCCAGTTTGTGAGTGTTTGCATTTGAACTTGGCTTTTTTAAAGGCTTTGGGATAAGCTGGAAGGTCCTGCCTGTGGGACTCTAGGGTGTCAGAGGGGCTGGAAACTGTCACCCTTCACAGGCAGCTTGCTCGCTGTGGGGAAAGGAGGTGGTGGCACAGAGGCCAGTGGCAAGTTTGAGAGCAAGCTGAGCTCTTTAGAGATCCATGATTTTATACTTCAAAAATAAAAGTAATTTAGGTGTGATCCACAGAGCTGGCTGGAATGGGTTGATGCTGGTGGAGCTCACCTGGCTGACCTGTGCCATCAGAGAGCTTTGATGATGTTTTTGCTGTCATTGCTTGGCATAATGATTTCTAACACTCTCCTTTTGCTGTTGCAGAGAGGTGGATTCGGTCGTGGCCGTGGTCAGCCCCCGCAGTAGAACTTTGTGCTCATGTTTTGTGTATAATAAAAGAGGTGAAAATGCCACTGGGTTCATCCTGTGTCTGTCTGAAGTGCACAAACAGAGCTCACAAGCACGGCGTGACTCAGACCTTTGGCATCTGGAGCAGCACTTCGGGAACGACTAAATGCAGGTTCTAGAGAAGGAACTCCCAGTTTAGGGGTGTGGAGGTGAGTCCTGGAGGAATGCAGGAGCGTTCCCCATCTGCCCGGGGCCACGCTGATTGCCGGCCACACAACCGGGGCAAATGAGCTGTTCTGCAGATGGAAAACTCAGCTGTGCCAGCCCGTGTCCCCGTGGGCGGGTCCGCGTGTCCTGCCCCCCGCGCTGTCACCTGCGCTGTCACCTGGGGGGCACCGAGTGGCGCAGTGCCCGCCGCGCGCCGCCAGGTGTCGCTGGGCAGCCGGTGACTAATCGCTAACGGACCCGGTGTCACCGCCGGGAGGGGGGAGCGGGCACTGGGCAACCAACGCGCGGTCACTGACCGGGGCAGCGGACACACGGACAGCGACCCGCGGTGTCACCGGCAGGGGGGTGGACACGCAGCCGGGTGTCACCGGAGTGGGAATGGACACACACACAGAGACAGACACACACAGAATGTCACCGGGGAGGGGACAGGGCCCCGCGGTGTCGCGGGGGGCGGGGCCAGCGGTGCCTGCGGAGCCCCCGCGCGGTGCGCGCTCCTGTCCCCGCGGAGCCGCTGTCCCCGCGGGGCCACGTGCGCGCCGCCGGCCCGGCCCCTGCGCCGTTCGCGTAAGGCCGAGCGCCCGCCGCCGCCGCTCTACGCCGCCCCTCGCATTCCCCAACGCGGCGTGCGCCAATGGCGCAGAGCGCGCGAGCCGGGGCGGGGGCGTGGCGGCGCCGCCAGCGATGGGGGGAGCGATTCTGGAAGCCGCGCTGCGCACTTCGCGTAGCGGGCGCGCCGTGAGCCCGCGGGGGCAGCGCCGCCTCCCCGCCCGGCGGCGCTACGCCGTTTGCGTAGCGAGCCCCAAGATGGCGGCGCGGTCGTCGTCGGCGGTGGCCGGAGCGCGGGCGGTGGCGGCGGCGCGGCCGGGAGCGAGGGCAGGGGTGAGGCGGGCGAAGGGAGGCAGCGCGTAGCCAGACCCACGAAGCGAGACCCAGAGAGAGACTGTCGCGGGCAGGCGGTTCCCCCGCGCCCCCCCGTCCTTCGCCGCCCGGTGGGTCCCGCCCGCCCCCGCCCTCCGGGCCGCGCGTCCTCCGGCCCCGCCGCCCCCGGAGCGGAGGATGATGAAGCTCAAGTCCAACCAGACGCGCACCTACGACGGGGACGGCTACAAGAAGCGGGCGGCCTGCCTGTGCTTCCGCAGCGAGAGCGAGGAGGAGGTGAGGGGCGAGGCCGGCCCGGGACCCCCGAGCCGCCCGCGGTGCGGGGACTCGGTCCCGGCGGGGTTTTATTTTTAAGAGGCGTCATTCAGCGTCGCTGGGAGAGCCGGTGCTTGGCACTGGGTTGGTGCTGTCCGCCGGAGCCGGGGAGATGCCGGTGGGCGGCGGGACGGGCTGAGGGCAGCGCGGGAGGGGGTTTGGCAGTGCGGGACCGACCGCGCTGGCAGAACTTCAGTGCAGCACATCACATGAGGTGGGCGAGGAAACCCGACCTCGGATTTATAAAAAGAAACTGGGATAAAAGGGGACTGATGGAGTGCCAGAAGTTGCTGTCCAGAGAGTTTGGGAGGAAGTGGGAATTAAAGGTGGATCGGTCGGTTTGAGAGCGGCCGCGTTGCTAAGGGGCTGCATTGTCCGGGAAGTTACGGCGAGAAACTTCGCTCCCGTGTGCGATTTCACTCGAGTCTTTGTTGACACCTCCTGAAGGTGGGCTCGGGGTGCTCCGAGCAGCGAGGCTGCAGGTCTGCCTGCTGCTGCTGCTGCTGGAGTCAGGCGTGCACACTCCGCTGCGTTTGCTGTGCCCGAGTGGCTGTGCTAAAGTCTTTGTTCTCCTGATTATCATATTTGTAGCTACAGGAAATCGGAAGGGAATGCGGACAGTTCACTGGAGGAAAGGCAATTAGCATGCATCCAGTTATTATTTAACGTGAAGGAGACTGCACAAGCCCTTTGTAACTGTGCTGGCCTGATGAGGAGTGTCAGCATTTCAGCAGAAATGGTCTGAAATGACAGCAGTGTGTCTGGTGCAGCATTCAGTGTAACTGATCCTTCCCACGGACTTCCAGGAAATGTATGGCCTGACCATGAAGAAGACCATCATTGTTTTGTGTGGTGATGCTGGGGGTGCTCAGCACGGGTGGGTGAGGGCGTTGGAGTGCCCTGATGAATCGTTCACAATTAGTGGGGCAATTTGCAGGCTCTTCTCCAGAGGTGCAAGCTTTGCCATGTGTGACTGCAGGGTGGCTTAGGGTAGAAAAGTACTTTTAACAGGTGCCTGAGGCAATCAGCATGTGACTGGTTGTGAGTTTTATTTTAACACACCTCGGTCTGCTGTGTTGTGCAGGCTCCAGCTGATCCTTCCAGCCCGTGGGAGCTGGTGACAGAGCCCTCAGGGTGCTGGGGACACCGAGGTGTGTTAATGGCAGGGACAGAGCCCTCAGGGTGCTGGGGACACCCGGGTGTGTTAATGGCAGGGTCAGAGCCCTCAGGGTGCTGGGACACCCGGCTCTGTGGCAGTGTCACAGTGCTGACCCAAGAGGTCCAAGGAGGAAAGTGAACTCGTTCCCGAGGCACGCTGGCGTGGGATGGATGCTTGCAGCAGGCTCAGCTGTCAGGTTGGTGTGAGGCTGAGATTTAAAACCACTTTTGTGTCAGTTGTGTCTCTGCTGTGGTCTCCACCTACAGTGGATTGAATTTAAACTCCTTCAGGCTCCAGTTTCTAGGTGAGAGCTGGAGTAGAACGATGTGTTTCTGGTTCCAGGCAGGGTTTGAGGGAGCTGGCTGCCTGTGCTGGTTGTTCTGGGACATTCCCAGGGCTCTGTGAGCTCCGGGGAGGTTTCTGTGAGCAGGGCAGTGCAGGCTCTGGGTGAGCTGCTGTCCCTGTGGTCGCTGTTGGTGGCCTGGTCCCTGAGCTCGCAGTGGCAGCTGGCAGTGGCTGTGCTGCCCTGGGACAGCTCAGGAGGGAGCAGGAGCTGCTGGGGAAGGGCTGCACTCCGGGCTGGGCTGGTTTCCTGGGATGTGGGATGAGGGAAGGACGGGTCTGGTCTCAGAGCCTTTGGAGGCTGTGTGTGGTACCTGTGGGTTCAGCCCTGAGCTGAGGCTGCACCCTCTGCTCCCACCTGTTACAGCCCTGCTGCAGGAGCTGCCCAGGAAGGGGGCTTGTCACAAAGACATCTGGAAAGTTCTTAGCCTGTCCCACAGAGTGAACCCCACTGGGATGGACTCTGTGCCCAGATCCTGCACTTGGCCATGGCCAAAAGGTGTTGGAGTTAAACTTGTGTCAATGAGTGAAATCAGCAAAAAGGACACCTTATTAATTTTCCTTTCTAATTACTTCTTGGGAAATAATTCTCATTTGTTGGCTTTTAAATAAACTTTGAGAGAAGCTGACTGGTGTCCACTCACTGCAACTTGCACTTTTTTGATAGCAAGGAAGGTGTTACCTGTACACATTTAAGTACAGAATATAAAATGACTGTGAAAGATTTCTGGTTTGCTCTTGGACAATAATACTTTTTAATGTTACTGACGTATTTTATTATTGATTGCTTCTATTTAAGTGGAAATTGAGATCTCTTTAAAAGGTCTCTCCAGGGAGGGGAGAAAGAGCCAGAGCCAAAGTATGTACATTAAAGAGCTATTAAAAGCTTAGTGTTTGAAAAGAAGAGAGAAGAAAAGAAGCGTGTTTTGATAAATAAATTAAACTTTCTATATTAAAGTTGGATTTTTCCTATGACTGTCTGTTTCTCATTACTGTTACTTTTAAGTGCTTAAGAAATAGTAGAACTTTAGTCTTGCCTTTTTTCTTCATTTCCTGCTATGAATTCAAAAATCCATTTTTTTCTTGTTTTTAACCCCTCATTAGTTCTTGAATTAAACAGTTTGTCAATGGACAAGAAGAAATAAGAGAATTCTGTTTACTCTTACAGAGGAGGCTACTTTCTTCTGTTTAGGTGTTTCCCCCTGACTCTTCAGTTCACTGACATATTTTTCATTGAAATCTTTGCAATCCCTGGAGATTGATAAAACACCATGTCCTTGGTTTGGTGTTACATTTGCAAATAAAGAGGCTTAAGAGAAAAATACTTTGTTCTTTTTTCGTTTTTGAGTGATTTATTTTTTCCTTATGCTGCTGGAAGTCGCACATTGTCTCTGCATTGCATTTGGAGGCCGCTTCTTTGGGCATGAAAAAAGCTCTGGAACGTTTTTGGAAGAGCAAGCATTGGCTGAAAAGATGCCTTTGTTACATATTCCTTTAAAAACTAGCACGGGGAGAATTCATTTCAACCTGAATCTCAAATGGAGAAAAAAAATTTACATTTTCTGGGCATTGTGGAACCCCCCAAATTGTGTGTGGTTTCCCAAACCACCATCCACATCCTTGGGCAACAGGGAGAGCTCGGGCAGCAACGGGATTCATTCAGAAAGTGGGAACACACTTCAGAGGACCTTCCAGCAGCCAGACAGCAGGACTTTGCCATTCCCATCTTTTCACATGGACTGAACTCCTGGAATATTTGCAGAACTGTGGAAGGAGAGTGAAGGGAGAGCTCCCAAATCCTGTGGTCCCTTCATTGCCTGGGGTGTCCCTGCCCCTCAGCATTGCCACCAGGGTGTTATTTTTACATCACACACATATTTTTTGTGTGGACCAGCTGTTCCATGAGGAAACATCCCAGAAAATGCCTCTCCTGGCCCAGTTTGGCCCAGCAGCTGGAGCCCTGCTCGGGTGGTGTGTGGCAGGATGAAGAGGCACCACTGGGCCATGGGGCAGCAGCGGGTTTCAACATGCCCACATTGTATCTGTGAAAGGACAAGCTGCTCCTTCACCACGGGCGTTTTTAAAGACTTTTTTTTTTTTTTTTTTGAGAAAATGCCTCGGGAAGAATCTTTTCTGAGCAGTGAATGGAGCCGGGAGAAGAGAGGCTTCACCCAGGGGCCGGTGCCCTGGCACGGCTGAGCCTCGGTGGTCACGGGAGAGCTGGGCCGGGTGGCCCCTGGGAAAGCCATTGGAATGCAAACGAACCTTTTTCCTTTTCCTTCTGGCCTCTCGCGGGTTTTACTCCAGCTGTGATGTAACGCAGCAGGGCTGGCATTGGAACCCCGTGTGTGGTGGGGATCACGAGGTGCTCCTGGGCTGTCCCCTGTGCCTTGGCTCCAGTGCAAACCAACAACAGCTAAAACCTCTCGAGTGCTTCAGTGCCGGGATGTAAGCGAGCCCAGCATCATATGATCATCCTGCTTTCTGTGGAATAGCCTCAGAATCCCTGTTCTGATGGCTGGGCTTGGCTGCCTGCTCCCATCTGCTGCATAAAAGGTTGTGCTTGAACCCGAGTGAAGTTCTGCTCTGTTGCTATCCTGTCAGCACATCTCCAGGGGGATAAGGGCCAGCTTGGTGTGGGACTTTCCTTGCCTGTGCCTCTCCTGTCCCTCTCAGCCCTGTAGAATCTGGAGTTTGTGTTCTCCGAGAGCAGGAGCATGGATAAACCTCTGCAAAACCCGGCTTTCATCTGAAAAAGTGTTTTGCCTTCCCACAAAAGCAGCTGTCACTAAACAGTTTTACAAGCAATTCCATGGTTTCTTGTACTTTTCCAGACAACAAAAGAATGAAAATTGTTAAATTTTCACTTCATTTACTGGAAGCTCAGCGAGCTGTTGTGAAACTGAAGAACTGAGTCAGTTTTGTTCTGCTGCAGCTCAGGGAAAAGTGATGACTGTGGAAAGAGGGTGTGCTCCACCCTGGATCTGGAGAAGGACCCAACAGTGGTGGCTGTGTCTGTTCTCTGCAGGACACTGCTTTGGAATTTCTTCCACCTCGGATCCATTTAGTGCTTGGCTACGAGCTGCTTTTTTAGCTTTTTCTCCTCACTCTGTGTGTTCTGTACCCCCTCTTTTTTTAAAAAAGCCCTCACGCCCAGTTGCCTTACTCGGTTCATCTCACCCTTCAGATAAACTCCTGCAGTGTGGAGACAGGTACCAGCATTTGGGGGTGCACCCAGCAGGGGCTGCTGCCAGGGGACCTTATCTTTCCATGGATGGACTCTCACAATCTGGAAAAACAACTCTTTCCCTTCTTAATAAAAAAACCCAAACCCAACCATGTGTGTGGACTTTTACGTTCTTTTAAAATAAGGAGAGTTGTCCCGGTTTGCTTGGATAGAGCAGAATTAGCAAACTCAGTTCTACCTTACAAATAGCAAACATCCGTGTGGGAGTGCTGT